AGACTGTATCATCCCCATGGAGATGTATCGAAGATGTAACGTTGGGTGGGTAACATTGTTGAATGTTCATGTTATGATTACATCATTCTCACATGTCATTTCAATCAAAAATTCAACATCAGTGAAATGTCATGAGATGGATGCCTTGCTTAAGATGGTCAAAATTCGATCATGATTAAGATCATCTTCATAATAATATATTGGATCATCACATGGAAAATATAATATTTTGGTGTTTCGGATTGTGTCAAAAAAATGTTGGAGGCGCGAAATTTGTAAGTTTATATATAATTTATGCATATATTCCATCTAGAGGATAATCATCGTTTCGAAGCTATATTTATGATAGAAACTTCCTTATTCATTATTCCAATAAAAAATCCAATATTAGTTGAATATCATAAGATGAATGTCTGGGTATAGATTGTCACGACTTGATCACGAAGACTATCATCCCCATAAAGATGAATCAAAGATCATTATATTATTATGAGAAATGTTATATTTCGGTTTTCCAGATGATTTCAAAATAACGTTAGGTGGGCAACATTCCAATATGTTTATTAAATATATGCAAATATTTGATCTTAAGGATTATTATCGTTCTAAAGATATAGCTATCATGACACTATTCTAATATATCAATTCAATCAAAAATTCAACATCAGTAAAATGTAATGAGATAGATGTCTTGCATAAAATGTTCAGAATACGATCATGACGTCGATCATCTCCATGAAAATGTATTGAAGATCATTATATGAGAAATATTATATTTTAGTTGTTAGAATGGTGTCAAAAGAATGTTGAAAGTAAAGTTTATATATAATATATGCATATTTTTTATCCAAGGGATGATCATCGTTCTTCAGCTAAATCCCTGACATCATCATTCATTATTTCGATCAGAATTTCAACATTGGTGAAATATCATGAGATGCATGTCTTGCTCAAGATGGTCATTATTTGATCATCAAAAACTATCATTCTCATAAGAATTCGTTGAAGATTAGAATATGAAGAATGTAATATTCCGGTTTTTTGGATGATGTCAAAATAACATGAGGTGGGCAGCTTTGTTGGATATATATAAAAAATATGCAAATATTTCATCTTGATGATTATCATCGTTCTTGAGCTATGGAACCATTATTATATATAATTTCAATCAAAAATTCAACATCAGTAAAATGTCATGAGATTGATGTCCTGCTAAAGATGGTCAAGTTTTGATCATGGAGACTATCATCCCCATATGGATGTATTGAAGATCATATTATGAAAAATGTAATATCTCGGTATCTTGGATGATGTGAAAAAAACGTTAGTAGGGCAATGTTCGTGAACTTATGTATGATATTCGTATATTTTTGATCTTGAGAATCATCATCATTTTGAAAATTCATTTATGATTGAAATCATCTTACAAATCATTTCAATCAACAATTAGATATCAATAAGTTATCATGAGACAAACGTCTTGTATTGGATGGTCACGGTTTGGTATCAATTGAGTGATACATATGACCAATTGTTGCTATACCAATTAATTGACTTATTTTAACGTTATATACGAGACGTCTGAAGAAAACCGTAATATGATTGAAATATGTAATGTTGAATGTTTACCGGGTAAATTTTTGCCATGTCCAGATCTGGATTTTTTTCCATAATGTGCCATCTGGAATAGTTTCGATAGAGAAACGTAGCTGCAAAATTTCAGCAAATTACGATGATTCATTTCTGAAGTGGCAATTTCAAATTGTACTAGATGGATTTTTTTTTCATATACAGCGTCCCTCACTTGACAAAACGCTTTTCTCTTTCTATATCTTAGTTATTAGTCGTGCGATTTTTAACAAATTTGGACTGATATTCTGTATCTGGGGTTTTATCAAAATAAAACGGAGTAGATTTTTCATGAAAATTCATCTTTGAACATGAAAACGAACCTCATAATATTGTTCTTCATCGTTATAAGAACACACAGCATCTTTGCGAACGTAAATTAGTATTATATGCAACGATCACCAGGGAACCATGTATATAGGAGTGTATTGATAGTTCAATATCATGTTAGTTCCATACACTATTTTTTGTAGGACCACAAGTTGGAAATGACAACTTCGATGGCCGGTATAGTATTTCCCGAGGTACTTCCAATATTTTTCAGACAATACGGGGAAACCTGAATGAAGTTATATCAATTTCATGAAATATTTACACGTATACACGAAAATGATGAACTATATAATTATGAAAATATTGATACAGAATTTTGACCATTGCGAATAAGAACTTTCAAATTGCATCTCATCAAAAGTATTCATTACTCACCCTGTGTATTATAAATGATGATGATGATTTTCGTAATCCCAGCGAGAACACAGTATGATCAGATCGACTATCGGTGACTTCGATTCATGTTTTACGCTAATTTTATAAGTCCGTTCAGGATTTCGGATAAAAAAATATTTTATATTCAACTATTAGTCACAAAGCAGAGAGATGTTTACAGCATGGATTCAAAGTCAAGACTGAATATAAAACTAATTCTAATAAACATGTGAAAATGCAAAATTGCAAGAAAGCATAGAAATCATGAGAACACTGACTCGGCTTCTCCTGGTTTTCTGTCGAGATTCCTATTTCTTAAGGAATACCGTGGAATTGGTGATGTAACTCCTCCCTCCTTAGGAAGATTCATACAGGGGGTGGATCTGGTTACTCGTCGTCTTCAGCCCTCAGGAATAGGGTTGGATGAGATCTAGGTGCTGCCTCAGGTGCTGGGGACTCATCTGAATTGAAATGTCTGGACTTCTTGTATAGATTAACCATTCCAATAGCGAAAAATACGATCAATACAATATAAATTGGTATCGACCAATAATGGGCTGTGTTACTTGGCATTGTTTTCAGCGAGACATGTTTCATTCTGTGCTGATCCTGTTGCAGTCTTTGTACTTGGTCCAGGGGTATGTCATTTATCACAAGTTCATGTACGTGGTCACCTGTGATTGTCGGTATCTTGACATCGGGTAGTAGCAAGGGTTGGCCGGTGATGATGGTATCTTCGTTTGTGAAGACATTGTGTGGGGTTTCGAAACTACATGCAGTTGGTATTTCCAAAAGGTAGGTACCCTTGAGGACTGTAAAATCGATTTTATGACAATCAATTTTAACTCTGGTTTCTTCTGGGAAGACCACGATGTAGTGGGCAGGGTTGATTTCTTTGATGGATTCGTGTTGAATTACTACTGGTATGGCTTCGCAGCTTGACGGATATTTGCTTTTCAACTGCAGTATCTGGTGTGTGCAGTCTTATTCTCGAGATTGCAAGATCAGGTTCTCGTTGGTGCAGAAATACAGAGGGTTGGTGTTTCTACACTCACTGTCTTCGTACTGATAAAAAGTTTCTTCCATAGCCAGGAAAGGTTTGGAAGGAATGATAATCGAATTGTTTCTTGTAGGAATTGAATATAGGTGGTAATAGGAAAATACTTCAGGATAGACAATCGGGAAGTGTATCATGAAGACTATCTCATCATTAGAATGGTAACATTCGACATCAAGTATTTCATAGTATTTGTATGAGCTGGAAATGTCATCTCAGGGATACTGCTAACGTCACCACGGAGGCAGCTATAGCTACCTGCGTGACATCCGTGTCCAGGAGTACAAACAATAAAATGAAGGTGATATCGGGGGAACTGTAAAAAAACAAGGAAGAGATTAGTGGACATAGCTGCCTCCGTGGTGACGTTAGCAGTTTCTCTGAGACCTCAGGGTCTGCTGACCGAAACCACAAATGTGCGGCTGGCCTCTGTCCGTTGACTCCGCTGATTTGTTGTTTCTTTTTCCACCAAGTGTTGCCTACCTGTTGCACACTTTTTCACCGTACTGATGAGGGCCGAAAGCACGAAACACGTGTCTACGGTTATTCATTCATGAGGACTATGTCCACTAATCTATTCCTTGTTTTTTTACAGTTCCCTCGATATCACCTTCATTTTATTGTTTTTACTCCTGGACACGGATGTCACCCAGGTAGCTCTAGCTGCCTCCGTGGTGACGTCAGCAGTTTCCCTGAGACCTCAGAAATGGCTTTCTTTTTGACGGCCGGAGTTACACCAGAGCTACTCCTGGGCGCCAATCTACAAAGTTTACCCGTTCTTTTTACGCACGGCTTTGAGCTCCGGTGCAGCACCGCTTACCTTTTCCCGTCCCCTCTTGCATCTACCGCGAACGTGGTGCGACAAGCACTTTCGGCGGCATTTGAAAATGATTGGTTATGTTATGTTTGTGTTTTGAACTGGAACAATATCAAAATGGACGAAAAAACTGAAAAACTGCAGTTGAATGATGTTGAAATGGACAAAATATATGAAGTTTATGTCAGCAATGACGATTATGATCGGGCATTGAAAGGTATGGAAAAATACGCTGTGTAACCATCTGTCTTGTTCCAATGAAATACCTATTACCTTTGCAGATAACCATTTTGCTAATGCATTACTAATGCATGCTAGAGGGACAGCAGAAGACATATCTTCAGATGTTGAGGGAATGAAATCTGAAAATACTCAATGTGCGACTCGATGCAACTCACAGACTCAAGTTAGAACCACAAATATTTGGAGCTTCAACCAAACACAGAGTCTCATCAACTCTATGGCTTCATATAATGCAGATTTCAATGATGTACGAAAAAGGAAATAATATTTGACCATATTGCAAATGATCTGATAAGTGCTGGGTATGCCGTAGATGCAAAACTTGTTCAGAATAAGTGGAAGAGCTTACTGAGGAGCTATACAAAAGCTAAAGACACTAAAACACGAACTGACCAGGGACCTTCAAGATTTCTATTTTATGATTTGATTGATGATATTGTTGAAAATCATCCCAAAAATAAATGTGATCATTCATTAAACACATTGGATCCGCCTATATCAGAAAATGATTCCAGCAGTGGAAAAAAGTACCATTGGAAGATGAAGATGCCAGTGAAAGACAAGGTGAATAGGAGAGAGATTTGGGAGGCACTAAAGAACTGAATACTGGGGAATGCTCTGCACCAAACAAACAAAAATCAGGAGATTCAGTGAGCACTGAAGAAAAGGATAATGGAGAATGCTCTGCACCAAACAAAAGAATGAGACTAAGTGAAAACAACTGAAAAAATAATTTATTAATTCTAAGAAGATAGAATATGCTGAAAGGCAGAAACGCCATGATGAAAAATTGGCAATTCAGACAAAAAGGATGGAGATTGAAGAAAAAAAATTGGCTGTGCTTCAGGAATATCTGAAAAATAAGCAGAATCCTTCAAGAAATGATTAATGTCACAGTTCTTTATATTTTATGAGTCAATGTTTCTTGTTTAGTATTTAGATTTTATGTTTTCATGTTGTTCCTATTTCATTTGGTCTGACTGGAAATCCTGTTCAGAGAAATAAATTCCGTTTTGTTTATATATACTTTATTATGTTTCATAACATTGTTTTCTGATTGAAATAATGAGAGTAAAATATTTATTTGCAAGATAGGTACTGAATTCATAAATTGAACATCCTCTTGAAAATCTGTTGCCTATTGTCTCTTTCCCTCAGTTGGTCCTGCAATACTGGATTGTTCCTAAAGGGGATGGGTTGGTGGTTGGTGTTCATCATTCTCTTCAATATCTTCGATAGCATTAATCCTGTCATTTTGGCAAATATTATGGAATATACAAGATCCTAAAATTATCTCTGAGCATAACCTGAAGTCAAAATTCTCAAGACCTTTGTTTGTTTGTTTTGTCTTTGAGTCTTTGAGTCTTCTGAAACGCCCTTTGAGTAGCCCAAATCATTCTCCACAACTACTCTTTCAGATGATAGCCTCTTATTAAATAGTTTCTGTTCCTCACTTGAAAATCCTGTGTCAGAGAATGGTGTTATAATCCAATCCAAATTGGGGTATGCTGAGTCACCTAGTAGGAAAAAGTCCCTCATGAAACCAGGATTTTCCATATTTCTAGCATAAAGTGCTGATCTTCCCAACAACCTGGCATCATGCAAAGACCCTATGGTTCACCACAAAATATATCAATAAATCTTTTATTGTGATCTATGACTCCTTGTAACAGTAGGCTGTGGTATCCTTTTCTATTTTAGTATGAATCCTGATTCTCCTTTGGTTCCTGGACTTCTATATGGCTTCCATCAATAGCACCAATTGCACCAGGGATTCCATTAGTTTTTGAGAAAGCGTCAGCATTATGTATCATTTGTTCCTGATTAGGCCAACAAATATACTGATTTTTCACTGACATCAGGAATGTTAGAACACGTTTCAAACAATGATGGGCGAAGCTGAGAGAGACTCCAAATCTGTCTGACACTTCCCTGAATGAATTCCTGTTTGCTAAGTACCACAAAGTCAAGAGAACAGCTTTTTCACTAGATACATTGGGTCGTCCTGGTGAGTATTTTGGATTGAAATTTGATTGCTCGAAGAGACCTGAAATTGAATAAAACATAAATATACAGTTCACCTCTAACAAAGAGAGTTTCCATACCAATAAGTTCTGAAGTTGTATTTTTTGATATGCGAAAATGGGACTTGAACATCTTGTTATCATATCCCTTGACAGTTATTTCCACATAATTTTCAATCCTGGAATGTTTTCTTCTGGGTTCATCATCATTATCAGAAAAATTCATGAGAATACTGTCTGAAGCTGAAGAACTGGATGATTCTGACATGCTGGAATGATTACTTGATCCAAATAATTCCTGAAGGATACAATCAATAATCGATTCAATATAAAGATAGATAGCGTTTATTTGACTACGTTATGCAAATACATACATTTGTAGCAAGTCAATACATCAATACAATACAATAATGTATGAATCTAATAAAAAAAATAATTTGTGAATGAATTGTTATAAAAAAAAGACATCAAAACACTAATATATAGATATAAAATACAATAACATATAGATGTAAAATAGGGCCAAGACACAAAGAATACGGTTCATTTTACATTAAGATCAATTGCAGCAGGTGGGCTAGTTATATACTCAATATCATTATAGTAACATTTGGCTAAAAGTTCATTTTTAATGTATCGTTTGAATTTTTGACCTGTAAGATTTTTCACTGTTTGTCGTAAGATATTATACAATTTCGTGTTCGGAGAGTTAGATGCAGATTTATGTAGTCTATATCTTGAGGATCTGATGAGTTCAGCATTGCGAGTGCTGTAATCATGAAAATGAGCATTTCTATCGAATTCATTTTTATTTTCATGGATTTCAAGAAGGCAATGGTAAATATATAAGGTAGGAAGGGGCATTATTCCTAAATTTTTGAATATAGGACGACATGTGTCTATATAATCTGCATTGGCAATTATTCTAACTGCTTTTTTTTGAAGCTTGAAAACTCTATCAGAAGATGAGGAGTTTCCCCACAAAACAATACCATACCTAAGATGCGAATTGAAAAATGCGTAATATGCTGTCAAGAGGATCTTAAAACTTACTATAGATCTCAACTGTCGAAGCAGAAATATATGCTTTGAAAGTTTGGAACATAAGTCATCAATATGATTGCGCCAGTTCAGGTTATCATCTATTGTGATTCCTAGTAGATTTACTTCATCACCTTTTTTAATTTTACTGTTGGATGAGAAGATCAAATTCTGAGTTTTGTCTCTGTTAAGTTTCAAGAGATTTCCAGTGAACCATTTTTCTGCCTGGTTTTCTACATATTTCATGGATGTAATTAGGTTTTGACAGTTTTTGTCAGAGCATATTAGCGTACTATCATCTGCATAAACTACACATTTGTTTGGTAACATATGATAGAAAAAATCATTGATGTAAATGATGAAAAGGAGAGGCCCCAGAACAGAGCCTTGGGGTACTCCAGATTTCATCACCTCAAATCCAGATGCTTCGTTGCTGTTGAGGCAAACGTAATGCGTTCGATTATGAAGGTAAGACTGGAAGAGAGAAAGTGCAATTCCTCTGATACCGTAATCACAAAGTTTTTTCAAGAGGATATCGTGAGAGACGCAGTCAAAGGCTTTGGTCAGGTCGCAGAGAGTGACTGCAGTTAGCTGCCCCTTCTCGAAACCCTCCACTACCTCCCTCACAACTCTTGTTACTGCTTGAATGGTCGAGCATGATTTTCGAAATCCATATTGATCTTTGTTCAATAGATCCTTGCTTTCAAAGTATATCTGTAATCTATTTTTTATTATTATTTCAAATATTTTACCAAATATAGGTATGATAGATATTGGGCGATAATTCTCCACTTTATCAATATCACCTTTTTTAAAAATAGGTATTATCTTAGTGATCTTCAGTTCATCAGGAAATATTCCTTCAAGTATACAGGCATTGAACAGGATAGTCAGAGGCTCTACTATAAACTGGATGGATTCTTTGATTATCCTGCTATTCAAGTCGTAAGAGTCAAAGCAGTTGGAATTTTTAAGCTGAATAATCGCATTAAATACTTCACAGGAAGTGATGGGTTCAAAATAGAAAGAGCCAGGCTCTTTAGGTTTCAACTCATCATTGATTGAAGTGAACTTGGAATAATCGTCACCGTTGACTAATTGTTCTATTATAATTTCCGCTATTGTGGCAAAGAATGCATTATATTCGTGAGAATTTATGTTTTCACTGATTTTGTTACTATTTTGTTTATTACTCTCGTAGTTAATCGATCTCCAACTATCCTTGATTTTATTATTGGAATTTGATAAAAATGTGTCATAAGCTTTTCGTTTAGCTTCAGTGACGGAGCTTTGATAATTTTTATTCAACTTTCTGAAAGTTTCTTTGTGAGCAGGATCATTTGTTGAATCAGAGATAATTTTCACAGTAGATAGTAGGTCCCTCATTTCCCTCAGTTTCTCATTGTACCATTTCACTGGTCTCTTAGAGCTGTTTTCATGTACTCTTTTAAGTGGAAAATGTTGTTGAACTAGGTATTCAAAAGTATCGAGTAAGATTGTTACCATATTTGAAACTGAGTTCTCGGAATTAAAAACACTCCAATCAATCTGGGATAAAGAAGCCTGCATCTCCGTTGAATTTTATGATGTGATCTTCCTTCTAAACTTTGGTATACTAGTTTCTTTAGGAAAATCCTGCAGACTTATGAATTGTGCATAATGATCAGAAAGACAGGGATCAATGATACCGGTTTTGAAATCACTGCACACATTTGTTAGTATATTATCGATACATGTTTTCGATTCATTGTGTACTCTTGTATATTCTGAAATAGTTACGTCAAGGCCAAAACTATTAGTGAGGCATATGAGATTAGTTAAGTTAGTTGAAGGCTTCAGGAAATTTATATTGAAATCTCCTAGTAATATTATCCTATCAAATCTACGTGAAATAGATGTTAGACTTTCTTCTAGCATACACATAAACTCAGTACAGTCATCGACACATGCTGACCTGTATATCGTTAAAACTGCAATATTCAGGGGTAGAAGAACAATTCCACATAACTCTAAGTGACGTTCGGCACAAAATTCATCAAGAAACAAGGGCTTGCACTTCACCTTGTTGTCAACGTATATAGCAACCCCACCATGCATATAACTGGATCGACAATAGAATGTTACTAGATTATAATTAGGAATATTGCATAAAATCAGGGAAGACTCATTCAACCAATGTTCAGAAAAGCACAATACGTTGAAATTATGATTCTCAAGGAATAGAGATAATCTGTCCAATTTATTAGATAGTTTTCTTATATTCAAATGAAGGATATTCACCTCGTCTAATTTGTAGGTAGAACAATTCTTAGTGCTACGATTCTTGTAATGATGGTTTTCGTTTAAGAAAAAATCGATTCACGTGTGCTCCCATAGATTAGAGAAATTGATGGATACTTTGAACGAAGAGTACAGCTCTGGAAACCTCATTCATTTTCTCGATCTTTGCTTCAGGAAAAGTTCCTTTTATATCCTCATATAACCTTTCGGCTGTTGTTGTAGGTTGTAGTTTGTAGACGTGGAGGAAAGATTTTTTTCTACTGCTTCAGTAGCATAGTTTTCTTTCCTGCCAATTAATGGTTTATTCCGCTTATAGCGTGATGTTTGCCTGTTGGGATGCAAATTTGATGAAGTTAGATTCATCACTTCTTGGCATTTCAATGTACTTTGCACCTCATGAATCGCTGTTGAAACTTGACTTCTAGTGATTGGTTGGTTATTTCTACCATTCACAGTATCATTTATCTTATCGCTAAGATTACTATCTACAGAAATGTCAGTTTTTTTATTCTTCCGCCTAGATACCTTCGTCCAACTCTTATCATCTACGGAAATGCTTTCGGTATCGGCAACCTCGGAAATTTCATCTGTAGGCACTGATGGTAGAGGTTTTAGCTCCGACATGATAGCGACATTTATATTTTTTACTCCAGTGTTTGATATATTATTATCACGTATTAGTGCCTTGGAATTCTCTTTTTCTAGAACTCCAATCTTAAAATGCATAAGATTAATTCGTTCCGTCATGTGGTCAATCATGGTTTTCAATAGAGTATTCTCTTTACGTATTTCATGGCAATCTCGGCACCTAAAGTTTTCGCCTTTTCTACCGATTACTGTCTCTACGGACGATCTGGTAGTGTTGAGGTCACATTCTGAATGTTTATCATTTTCATCCATATCCACACAATTTAAACAGCATAAAATCATACCTTTGTCTTCGTTTTCAATCCTTTGACCACACTCAACATGTAAAGGCACTTCAGATACTTCACAAGAACTACTTATTTCTAATTTTTCGCAAAATTTACTGCAGTTTGAAAGATTTTCTTTGAGAGCATTTTTAGATGCAGATATATTTGCCGCGGCCATGTTGCCATGGATAATGTTCACTCAACTTTTTTTTTGCTCAATTAACTCACTATCAATAACACTTCGGTTACAGAATCAGACATTCTCAAGAATAATTTTAATAATTCGTTTATATCGATAAGGATTATAAATTATAAGGAACAATAATCACTTGACATCAAAGCTTCAAACAAAAATTCAATCAAAACAACATGAAGGCGCATGCGCTACACATCATTGATAAAATGTTCCCTAAAAGCCGTTCTATTTGAGAGCAGCACCAAAGCTTCAAGCCTGGTACAGTTCGTGTGCTTGGCAGAACAAAAAGAAAGGGCTTAGGGTCTGCTGACCGAAACCACAATTGTGCGTCTGGCTTCTGTTCGTTGACTCCGCTGATTTGTTGTTTCTTTTTCCACCAAGTGTTGCCTATCTGTTGCACACTCTTTCACCGTACTGATGAGGGCCGAAAGCCCGAAGCACGTGTCTACGGTTATTTATTCATAAGGGGTATGCCCACTAATCTCTTTCTTGTTTTTTCACAGTTCCCTCGATATCACCTTCATTTCATTGTTTTGACTCCTGGACACGGATGTCACGCAGGTAGCTATAGCTGCCTCCGTGGTGACGTTAGCAGTTTTCCTAAGACCTCAGGGTCTGCTGACCGAAACCACAAATGTGCGGCTGGCTTCTGTTCGTTGACTCCGCTGATTTGTTGTTTCTTTTTCCATCAAGTGTTGCCTACCCTTTGCACACTTTTTCACCGTACTGATGGGGGCCGAAAGCCCGAAACACGTGTCTACGGTTATTTATTTATGAGGGCTATGTCCACTAATCTCTACCTTGTTTTTTTTACAGTTTCCTCGATATCACCTTCATTTTATTGTTTTCACTCCTGGACACGGATGTCACGCAGGTAGCTATAGCTGCCTCTGTGGTGACGTAAGCAGTTTCCCTGAGACCTCAGGGTCTGCTGACCGAAACCACAAATGTGCGGCTGGCTTCTGTTCGTTGAGTAGCGTGGTTTGATAGAGTTGGTAGGGAAATCGCCAGATAGGAAAATTTTGAATCTCAATTCAGATCAACATTCATTCAAACAATTTCTACCGCGGATCTCTGGGATTGTATGCATTGTAGGATACAGAAGTCTGCAGAAAGTATATCTAGTTATTTTCATGATAAGGTGAGACTTTCATCAGAATTGAATTTACCATTCGCAGAACAAAAATGTGAAATTGACGGTTGATGATTTGTGGCAAGATTTATTACTTCTTGAGCAAGTGTATGAATGTATGGAAAATCTGGATATGTTAACGACAATATTAGTAGACCAATAACAAATGGGGACGAAGGGCATGAGTTAGTTTGTTATAAATGTGGTTGTAAGGGTCATTTCAGAATAAAATGCAACAAACCTAAACAACAACTCTGCTATGGATGTTTTCAACCTGGTCATTTCAGAAAGAACTGCACAAAATTTCAAGCAGATGCAACTGTCACAGAAACGTCAAATATGGGTGGGAAAGCGTTCTTTAACATAGTTTCGGGCAGGGAATGTTTCACAGATTCTCTCTCACGATTTTATAAGCGAAGTCAGAGTAAACGGTTTACCACATCAAGCGCTGATTGATACTAGTAGTACAACTCTAGATTAGCTTAATTTCGAGTTATAACTCGAAATTAGTACTGATTTCGTGTTACAACTCGAAATTAGCTTAATTCCGAGTTATAACTCGGAATTAGTGCTAATTTCGTGTTACAACTCGAAATTAGCTTAATTTCGAGTTATAACCCGAATTTAGTACTAATTTCGTGTTACAACTCGAAATTAGTGCTAATTTCGTGTTACAACTCGAAATTAGCTTAAGCTAGCTAGTAACTTATATTCATGGCATCCTTGTGAATATCATCCGTAGTCTCAGTTTTTGTCATAAAAGAAACATTTACTATTAACCGGTATAACTCAGAAATGAGTGAAATAAATAAGTTCGAGTGAATAACAAAAAAGTTCATAAACAATATCGATATCGCATTCTTTGTCGCATAGACGTCGCTGCGATGTCAGAAGGATGTTATTTTGTCACTCTCAATTTTCATCCATGCGACGTCGCTGCGATAAGGTCTCTGCGATATAACAGCGATATGTTTTTTGCAATGTAGTTGCGATATGTTATTTGTGATGGAAAAGCGATGTGTTGAAAACAAGATTAATGAAATACCTATATGGTGTGAAAATATAGGTACACTATCTCATTCATTCTCAACTACACTGTTAGGTACTATATCGAGATTCATACGACTACTTAGCTTAATTTCGAGTTGTAAGACGGAATTAGCACTAATTTCGAGTTATAACTCGAAATTAAGCTAATTTTGAGTTGTAACACGAAATTGAGCTAATTTCGAGTTGTAACACGAAATTAGCACTAATTTCGAAATATAACTCGGAATTAAGCTAATTTCGAGTTGTAACACGAAATTAGCACTAATTTCGAGTTATAACTCGGAATTAAGCTAATTTCGAGTTTTAACACGAAATTAGTACTAATTTCGAGTTATAACTCGAAATTAAGCTAATTTCGAATTGTAACACGAAATTAGCACTAGCTTCGAGTTATAACTCGGAATTAAGAAAAAAAATATCTCATGTCCGTTCTACGCTTTCGTAGAATCCGCTTATGGCAACGTAGGTAAATATTTCTACTGAAAAGTCTCGACATACGTCAACGTGAATCCGTTCTCAACATGTTTTTCCTGATCCAACCACATGAATCATGACTCCTCTTTCGAAAACGAGAGAAAAAAAATATCTGATCAAATTCTACGTCCCTGTACGTTTGTGGGTTGTACAAAATCAGAACTTATTCCAAAATATTCTCTATTATCAACACTACAATTGCTCGAAATGTGTGTTGACCATTTCTCACGAACAATTTGATGCAACATTTTGCCTCAACTAATATCTACTGTTTCATGTCAGTACTTTTTAACAGATGATATCATACTCCAAATTGATGTTCAGATTTCGTGCAATCCTGTAACGTAGGTACGTGCTTGCAAAATGTTGGCAAATACTTAGAAACATTGAAAATCCATGAACATTGATTCATTTCTTCGCCAGAAAATGTAATCCACTTGAGGTCTCCACCATCTATGTATATCATGGTGCAAAATTTTTGTTGGTGACAGTGAATACTATGAGTTGAAACGAGATAGAAGTGGAGACATTTATCATCAACAAAATTTTACTAACTCAAACTGATAGTCTACTTGACAACTCATCCTGTTTAACTTTACAATGATTGATTTTCGAATTTCCAGATACGAGGTTCGCAGTCTAGCCCTTCTGAAATGAGCAGCAATGTGAAAGAAATGTACTTGGATTACATGGTCGACGTAGCTCAGATATTTGGAGCGAACTCTGTCGTTGCGAGAGAAGATGCGAATGAGGTCCTGAGCATGTTCTTGGAGTTGGCAAAGGTATTTGCTGGGAGATGGAGTTGGGTTATGATAATTGAATGAAGTTTACGCAGATCGTAATGATTGTGCCCAGTAAACAATAATTCTGCATTGACAAACATGAATTACATGGAAACATTATCGTGACCGGTTCGTTTTCATAAGGATTACATTACAAAATTATAAAAAATTTACCATTTCCGCTACTTAGGAGTTGAATTCCGAATGATGAAACCGAGAAACAACATTCCCAATGATGTCAATAGGAATTATATTATTGAATGACTCCATTGTATATACAGGGTGTACCCAAATAACACCGAAGAAATTCGAGATAAGTTTCCTTGTGACATTCTAGAAATTGAAGTTTATATTAACATGTGTCTTAACTTCCTACGTTTTTGAGATATAGAATGTTGAAGTTGTAAGTATCAATTATTTTCATTCATTGCTCCCCTGTATAAGCTTTCATGGTGTCGAAATTCAGTATGGATGGAGACTGAGAAAGCCCCAGAATTCCAAAATGATTCTAAATGGGATTATAAATTTGGAGTCAAAACGAATTCTTATTGTTTTTTTAAAAACTAAGCAAGATACTAAAATCACACCGAGGATGGAATAGTTGTTATTTCGATAGTCCAATCTGATGAAAATATGGAACTCAGGAAAACCGATAGCGTACAATGACATTCACCATGAATAACGATAAATTTACTCACTGTGACGCCACTGGTAAAATTATTTCGAATCTAATTGCACTAGAAAAAGCTCCATATCACTATCAACAGAACTATATTGTTTTATTGGAATTGATAATGAGACAATCCAGAAATGAATAGAAAAAATATTTTTCATAGAAATATTAATACCCTGTATCTAGAAAACGAAGCCAGTTAGGAGACATGTTTATATGAACTTAATTTCCTGAAATATTACAAAGAATTACCCCTTTTTTCGGTGTTATCTAGGTACACCCTGTTTACCGGGTGTCCCATTTTAATCTTTATTTGTAAATTTCTCGGAATGTATGCATCTGACAAAAAAATTGCCGAGTAAAAGTTGTATGGTTTGGAGAGGGACGACAGGTTATAAAACAAGTTTCACCCCCTGACCCGCAGGGGAGTGAGAAATGGAGGTAACATTGAAATCTTTAATGAAAACCCATATCTTTTATTGCAGATTTTTGAAGAGTATTGAAAACTACGAAGCTTTTATTCGGGAACTTCTTTTTTATTTTTATAAGATGGCGCTGCGATCGTAAAAAAGAATATTTCGCTATTTACACATTTCAACCCCCTGAAGACGAGGAAGAGTGTAGGGTTTGATATTTTCCCAGACAAACGCCATTGGGGTGATATTCACACGACAAATTAACGCTAAACGAACTTACTCACCTTGACACCTCTACATAGAAAAAAGAAAAATAAGCATGGTTCATCAATTAAGGTATTATTTAGGTCAGACTAAAGCTGATTTTAGGTGAGATTGACTACTTTTTCAAGTGTTCGAAAAGTGTTCGAAATGCGGATTAAGGTGCACTAACGCGCGCACCGTGAGCAACCTCGCATCCGGATCGACGACGTCGTCATAAACCGACTTTTTTCTTTTCCGGGTGAACTGACCTTCGCGGCACGTTGTACAAGAGACTCAATGGTTACTTGGGACGGAATCTCCAATCCGGAAATCGACGTCGATTTTCACGCTCAACTACAAACTGAATAGTAAAATATTGTTGTTTAAGATCGCAGCGCCATCTTGTTGAAATAAAAAAGAAGTTCCCTTTTGAAAGCTTCATAGTTTTTAATGCTCTTCCAAAATCTGAAAAAAAATAGGGGTTTTTATTGAAGATTTCAATGTTACCTCCAATTCCCACCCCCTGAGTATCAGGGGCTGAAACTTGTTTTATAACCAGACGTCCCCCTCCAAACCATACAACTTTTATTCGGCAATTTTTTTTGTCAGATGCATACATTTCGAGGAATTTCCAAATAAAGATTGAAATGGGACACCCTATATAAACCATTACAGTCAGTCATAAGAAAATACAAGTTTGATGAAGATGAAGAACAGTTTGTCATGAATAAATATTCATTTTGAATGACTTCTATTCAAGGAGATCGAAATTTTCACTAATTCAAATGAATGCATCATGAATTCACAGATGCCTAAGAAGATTATCGATGAGAAGAGAGGATGAGATCAATGCAAAGAAGGAGTGCTTTCATCAAAGTCATGGAGAATTTTGAATATATTGAAGATAAGACAGCTCTCATGTCTTTCAATATACTCATGTTATCCTACAAAAAATCCAAGAATTTGGTGCCCCTGACTATCGATTGATTTTAATTCTCAGGTTACTTATAGTGGAATATCATGATCAGTGTCCTTTTGAAGGAAAACCTACTACATATACAGGCTATTTTAGGTGAGGTTTCGTTAGGTGCAGTGTGAGTGAGCATTTAGGCAAATACCCCTCCTCCACTGCGTCCCTAGATTGTTCTACTGCCCAGACAGCACTGGATATTCATAGAATATTCTCTAAATATGCTTAAAAGGAGGAGTATATTCCGAATATTCATCGATCATTCCTAGAATATATACATGCCACTGGAACATCTAAAAGGAATATTCCAAAGTGAATAGTCGGACATGTTCAGGGAATATTTAGGTATGAATCTTCCAGGAATATTCCCAACTGAATATTCTCTGTTGTATATTCATGAAATATACCCAACTGAATATTCTGTGCGGTATATTCATGAAATATACCCAACTGAATATTCTGTGCGGTATATTCATGAAATATTCTCAACTGAATATTCGGTGGTGAATATTCATGAAATATTCCATGAATATTCCTTTGTTTCTCAACACATAAATACCATATATTATTATGAATCTTCCAGGAATATTCCCAACTGAATATTCTCTGTTGTATATTCATGAAATATACCCAACTGAATATTCTGTGCGGTATATTCATGAAATATACCCAACTGAATATTCTGTGCGGTATATTCATGAAATATTCTCAACTGAATATTCGGTGGTGAATATTCATGAAATATTCCATGAATATTCCTTTGTTTCTCAACACATAAATACCATTTATTATTTCAGAGATATGAGTATCGAAAATCAATTAGATGTAAGGGGATTTTGAAACAAAAAGTGTTTATGATCCGATTTCGAACAATGCTCTCACAAGAACTTGATATGTATAACATTATTCAATTCGATTACTGGCCTAGTGGTCAAGGCGTTGCTCTGATAGTCTTGAGGTCACGAGTTCGATCCCTACTTGGGTCTTTTTTTTAATGTTAGAATATGTTTAATGGAATATTCCAGGAACATTCAACATAGAATATTCTTTTGGGTACCTATATTCTATGATTATCTGAGGAATTCCCATTCGCATATTTAGAGAATATTCCACAGATATTCCGGAATATTCCAGATTATTTCTAGAATATTCCAATATTCCAAAAGGAATATGATAGGGAGATTCATGGAATATCTGGTGCTGTCTGGGTGTGGCTCACTCCTGAAAGTTACAGTTAACTCCACAATCCAATTCTTTCCACGAAGTCCATGGTTGAATGAGGTGAGATTTGTCTGAAATCGAAAGGTTCTGAGTTGATAGAGCCAAAACTGTCCAATTTTTGTCTCGATAAGCAAGAGCATGAACATTGTATGTAATCAGCCAATAAGTACCCAACACAGCGAAAACAACAATCCGCTTGATGTTTCAGACCCATCCTTTCAATGTGTTATCTCGACCCGGCGTCACCCAGGTGGAGAACTTTTTCATTATCACCCAGGTCTGTGAGTGGAGAAAGTTTTCAGATGTATTCAATTCAGAATCATGCACAGAAACTCTACATAATGAGTTCAATTCAAGAGATAAGAGATAAAAACATGATAGATTTGGAAATAACTGCAAAAATATTCAACACTCAATTCTGTGAGATCTCAGGCAGAACTGATCATGCAAATGTTCAAAATATGAGCTAGAGAAGTTGCATATATTATAATAAAATAGTTATTTGTTATTCGAGCAAAAAAAAAACAGTTCTTCGCACGCTGTATACAAATGTCCAATATTTGTGGAAAGAACTCCGGAAGATCGATAAAAATAGTGAGAGGAAATGAGTGGTGCGTTAATCTCAAAGCGCACGTATTAGTGTGGATTTATGCAGCGTCATTCAACATGTATCATGTAACAGTTATCATTCCACAATTAACAATTATTATAAGTTGAATTTCATATTTTCTAATGTTGGCCAACTTTTAACTTCTTACATTAAATGAACAGATTTTCCTATTGTGCGCAACCTTGTAAGCAAATAATCTCGGATTGGTTCTCCTGGTGATGATATGAACCTAAAAATTAGATGTCATGCCGTCAACGGCATCATCGGGACGAGAAGCGCTACTGCCTATTCCATTACAGGAAACTGATGTTCATATGTTAATAACATTTGAGAATGTATCATTTTTTACATATAAAAAGGAGGGTTATGTTGAAAGGACTGACTTGTGCGCATGCGTATAATTTCTTCTCAAATGTTAATTTGGTTTGTTACTTGTTACATGATAAATGTTGATTGATAATTCTTACATGATACATGTTAAATGACACTGCATAAATCAACACTCAATAAAAATTTCTGCTTTTTGGGCTTATGAATTATTCAATTGAAGAACTAATTAAATCATCGTAAAGAAGAAGGTTGGGACTAGGGTCCGGTTATCATACGGAGTCGAAACTCATTCATTTATAGAAGATACAGATTTTTGAAAAACATAAACATTGAAAATCTTTTGTCTCAAATTGAAATATTTTTGTTCTCTGTACAATTGTTGGAAATTCGGCGAGATTTCATTGAAATATAAGCTCCTGAAATGTTTCCATTTGGACAGAATTCAACAAAAACGATTATTCTTTCAACAAATTATCCATTCATCCCAGCTGATCTCGGTAAACTCCATTTCTTGAAAGAATATAATGCAGGAAACTA